ACATCTTCTTTATCCAATTGTCTATGATGGACACTTAGGTTGTGTCCATATCTTGGCTACTGTAAATAATGCTGCAGCAAACATAGGGGTGCATATATCTTTTGGAATTAGTGTTTTAGATTTCTTCAGATAAATACCCAGAAGTAGAAATGCTAGGGGATAAGGTAGTTCTATTTTTAATTTTTTGAGGAAATTCCATAGTGTTTTCCATAGTGGCTGCGCCAATCTGCAATCCCACCAACAGTGTGTGAAGGTTCCCTTTTCTCCACAGCCTCACCAACACTTGTTGTTTATTGATTTATGGATGATAGCCATTCTGACAGGTGAAAAGTGATATGTCATTGTGATTTTAATTTGCATTTCTCTGATGATTAGTGATCTTGAGTATCTTTTCATATGTCTATTGGCCATCTGCATGTCCTCTTTGGAGAAAAGTCTATTCAGGTCTTCGAAAACCATTTTTTAAATGGATATTTTGTTTTTCTGGTGTTGGGTTGTATGAGCTCTTTACGAATTTTGGATATTAACTCCTTATAGGATGTATCATTGGTGAATATCTTCTCCCATTCAGTAGCTTGTCTTTTCATTTTGATGTTTCCTTTGCTGTGCAAAAACTTTTTAGTTTGATGTAGTCCCATTTGTTTATTTTTTCTTTTGCTTCCCTTGCCAAAGGAGATATATCAGAAAAAAATATTACTAAGAGCAATGTCAGAGAGTTTACTGCCTATGTTTTCTTCAAGTTATTTATTTATTTTTTGGTTTTGGGGCTTTACTTCATTTTGAGTTTATTCTTGTATATGGTGTAAGAAGATGGTCTGGTTTCATTTTTTGCATGTATCTGTCCAATTTCCCCAACACAATTTATTGAGTATACTGTCTTTACCTCACTGTATATTCTTGTCTCCTTTGTCATAGATTAAATGACCATATAGATGTGGATTTATTTCTGGGCTCTCTGTTCTGTTCCACTGATCTATATGTCTATTTTTATGCTAGTCCCATGCTGTTTTGATTACTCTAGTCTTGTAGTATAGTTTGATATCGGGTAGCCTGATACCTCCAACTTTGTTCTTAAGATTGCTGGCAATGGGATCATTTTTAAATGTGGCCTTTCCTTTCCATTTTGGCTACAAGCTCATGGTAATAAATATGTGTGCATGGGTGAGAGGGTATGTGGTCAGGAGAGATCAACACACACATAAGTAGATATAACAGTCTGGCTTCAAATATCAACTTTGATCTCATCAGAGCTCTTTTTGGGAAAACTCTGAGTACAATAGTGCAGTCGGGAATTTGAATAAGAAAGGCACAACTCCTGGATGTGTGGAAAACTCATTGGCATTAAGATTTTGTATATCTGAAATTTATATAATGTTATTAACCAACGTTACCCCAATATATTTATTTAAGAAAGGAAAAAAGAATATTCATCTCTCCCACCATGATTATATGTGGTTGCTACTCTTTTATTGATTTTAATATTTCAGTTCTATAAAGTAGGAGCCAAAGTAAAATATTTTGTTCCCCGGGGGTCGGGGGGAGTATTTGTGGGGGGTAAGCCACATAGCAGGCGCTTGAAGTGGGAAGGAGTACAGCAAAGCCAGGAAGTTGTCTTGAAGCTGCTCCTGCACCGCTAGCACAGTTTTTATTTAGATGGTGTTGCAATGCATAACAATCAAGTTTCCAAAGGTGCCCTTATTTACACCTTACAGTGGACTGAGAAAACATCAACCAACCATATCAATGAATATTTTTATTTGTATTAGTTTTATTTTTGGTGACTCTAAAGGAAGCTGTCTTTCAAAGTCACCAATAAAAAAAACTAAAGTGACTTTGGAGAGGTCACTGGAAACTACCAAATTGGAGGGGATGGGGCAGCGAAAACAAAGGAGATCAAAAGCCAGAATCAAAGATTTTTATTTTAAACGAAATGGCTTTATTAGCACATGACTAAGAGTTCATGAGATTACAAAGACAGTTTTCCTTTTTGCATAGCTGAACTATGCTTTGAATCATGTTGAAATCTTAAGTCTGTGCTGACCACTTTGGGGTAGACACTAAGGTAGCTAGCCTGTTCTTGAACTTTTATTTTTATTTGTCCCCTAGAATCCCTCCATCCTGGCTCTAGAGGAAGACTGCCCCTCCTATCAGGCTTTTCTGCCCTCCCTCTGAATTACCTCTCCAGGAGGATACAGGCCCTCAGGCCCAGGAAGAAATCTGCCAATAATCAGAAGCTCCCTTTAAGAGAACTCACTACCACCCATTTCTCATGTCAGTGTCCAGCTGGACCCACTCTATTGGCCCCTGGAATGCTATTAATAGGACAGTGCTGGATGAGGGGGTGAGGGGGAGTGAGAGACAGGGCAGACTTGCTGCAAGGCTTGCTAACTGGATGCCTTTAATATCCTTCATTGTTCTTTACCTCAAAATGTTTAGGGAGGAGCCTGTGGCTTGGCCACCAAGCAGAACTCGTGTACAGAATTTTGAACGTATTAAAAAGTTAAGCTAAATTTGAAAAAAGCCAGCTCTAACCTAAAAGACCCTTTTTCGAAATATTCTTTCTTTCACTTTCTATTTGGAAGCCAAAACAAATTTTTAAGTTGCAAGAAATTTAGGATGAACACCCAAATGCCCTTTACTTAGACTATTTTGCACATTTTGCCATATTATCTTTTTTCTCTCTCTTTATACATATACATTATTGTTATTGTTCTTATTATTGTTATTATTATTGTTGTTGTTGTTGTTGATACTGAATAATTTATGTGTATTTTGCAGACATCATGATCCTTTGCCCTCAAATCCACCTTGGATCTTTTATGAACAAGGACATTCCCTTGCCAAAAAACATAATATTTGTAGGTAGAGTAAAAAAAGGATCTGTGGAAGCCTTTGTAACCCAAGTATGGGCCAGTCCAAGGGGCTGATTGTGGGGCCCTGTGCGGGCTCCCGCTAAAGGCCGAAAGAAAGGAGACGAGACACCACTGCAGGTCTGGAGGACTTTATTGTTACCATAAAACATTTTTTCCCATGTAGAGAGACATGAAATGAAGGTTGCATTCCCATCTGGTTTG